GATTAGGTCATGGAGGAGGGCAGGTGATTTAAAGCTCAAACTAGATAAAGCTCAGGTGGTGCTAAATTGTAGGATGTCCAGTTTAGGATGATATGGAGAAATAACATAAGCCCCCTTGGTTGAAGGTATTTGTGACGGGATCCCCGGGATGCAGCCTGGGACTGTGGAACCGCTGTGCCCTCTTTACTCCCTATTCTGGGTTGTCTCTCACAATGCCTTACTAGTGGCAAGCAGCAAACCCCTGCAGCTACTGTTACCACTTAGTACATCTGCACGTGGAGCCCCAGACCCAGCTAAATTGCATGAATGCTCCCTGAGCCACTCATGAATCACACAGAGAGACGCACCAGAGCCAAATCCCCCGAGCTCCCAGCCTTGTACCTCAGGCATATATCGTCTTGCACTGCTCAAGACCCTTTCTTGAGCAATGCAAGTTTATTAATTGGTTCACCACTTCATCAATGGAAAGTGGACATACATGAGTCTTTGTAACTTGAGCATATTTACCAAGCCCTTCAGACAAACTCACTGGTAAAGATAAACAGTAAAACAAGTTTATTGATTACAAAAGATAGATTTTAAGTGATTATAAGTGATAGGCAGAAAGTCAGAGTGGTTACCAAAATAAAATATAAGCACGCAGTCTACACCTTAACCCTTATCACACTAGGCAGTATTTAGATCAAGCAGTGTTCTCACTCCACTGGCTCTTACAGTTCTTAATATACAGGTTTGTCCCTTAAACATGGGCCAGTCTCCTCTGTTGAAATCTTCTGTCTTCTCAACGTCCTTGTTGCTTGCAGCGTAGGTGGGGGAGGAAAAAGGGCCCAGGTTGAGCAATTCCCCTGGTGTGGCCTTGTGCAAGTGAGTCATTGCATTGTAGCTCCCTTGCTGGACAATGGCTGTTGATAGTTGTTCGACACTTGCCTGGGCGTTGGTTATCTCCCTGGTTATTGTCTTTGGGGGCACTAGTATCTGGGCGCTTCCCAAACCCATAGCATATTTTAGTGACAATCATACAACACAACTCTCATAACTTCATATACATTAATGATATATATTTAGATGTAACAATGGGTTTCAGTAGATCATAACTTTTCCCATGATACCTTACAAGGCATACCTTGTATGCAACATCAGAATTATATACAAATGAATATGGGGGTTTCAGGGTGCTCCCCTGGGGTGTAGAGTGTCACAGTATTCATCTGTTCTTAGTTTCTTAATTTTGAAATGGTCTTAGACCAGGGGTCGGCAACCTATGGCACGCATGCCAAAGTTGGCACGCGAGCCGAATTTTAATGGCACGCTGCTGCCTGCCGGAGTCCTGGCAGGCAGCAGTGTGCCATAAAAAATCCGGCCCGGCCTGGCCCACTCTTCTCCGCCCTCCGTCCCCTCCCACGGGGGCAGGGGGCAGAAGCTTGGTCCTGCCTGCTCCCCTGCCTCTTCCCGTAGTGTGCTGGGTTCCTGCCCCTCCTCCTCCTCCGTCTCTCTCTCCCTGGCGGCCGATCAGCTGATGGCCCTTGCGAGGGAGGGGGTCGGGAAGGAGCAGAGTCAGCGTGCTCGCTGCTCGAGGCAGAGAAGAAGCGGGGGCAGGGCTTTGGGGAACGGGGCGGGGGGGTGAATAGAGGCATATCCCCTCCAGCCCTCTTCCCTGACCCCCCC